AAGAAAGCAGTGAGACATCTTTGTGCCTTGCTCTCCAGCAGAACTGCTCAGCTCCCTGCCCTCTGTCCTTTGAAGCTGCTGGGAATGTGGAAATCAAGGATAAGCTGGCTCAGGCAGCAGCTGCTCCATCCACCTCCATCCCTCTGCAACTCCCCAGGCAAGGCGTCGGCTCCGCGCGGCTGCCGGGGCAGTGCTCGGACAGCGAGGACTTCCTGGTCAAGTACAGTGACATTGTCATAGGCCAAACACCTATTTTCAGTGAGAATCGTTCTCCAAGGGCTTTTGAGACAGAGCCAAGAGCCAGTGTGAGTGAGGAATGTGCCTTGGCTGCAGAGCCCCGGGGGGCTGAGCTGGGGCCTGTGCCGCTGTCCCCAGGAGCCAGCGGCCCCCCAGCCTTTGCCATGTTTGCTGACAGCCCCTGTGACAGCTCAGCCCACGTGGAGTTCAGAGCTTCACAACTGCCCCAAGAATCCATTGAAGCAGAAATCAAGGATGCCATGAACTGCATAGACCCAGACCCTGCCGAGGGACCCGCTGAGCTGAAGTCTCTGCCCTACACGGACTTTGCCTCTGCCCAGACTGTCCCCAGGGAGGAGGAGGTTTGTGATCTGTCCTTAACTTTCACAAAACTACAGATCAAGGACACTCAGGAAGATCTGATGTATCCAGTGGAGGAAACTGGCCAACCTGCAGCAGCAGCATGTGCAAGTGCCAGTGACAGGCACAGAAGAGAATTTAATCACTCCAAAATCAAACCCGCATATCTGGCTGATGCTGAGCCATCCTCAGACCTGTGCTGTACTGCTGGGAACACGGAGCATTCCACCACTGGTTCTGATGGCAAGAGACTGTTCATGGATACTGGTAACACACCCAGAGCCTCTGAGGGCTTCAGGCACATCAGAGAGCCCCCCAACCTCACCTACATCCCACCACAGAGTATCGATGTTCAGCCTTCACAGCCAAGAAGGACCAGCACACAGGACAGAAGGACCCTCCTGCAGCCTGAACCTGACCCTCCTGAATCCAGTGAAGTAACTCTGGAGAACTGGAATTCAGAACTGAGTGAAAACCAGGAGCCTTATGTCATTATTGACAGGACCGACCAAGGAATGTTATGCCATCACATTTGAGTCCACCAGTGCTTTATCTCTAATCTGCCTGGGGGTTCTGCCTCTCACTTGTGGCCTTGATCATCTTTTCAAGGAGATGATTAGTTTTGTCAAAACAGTTTAAAAAAACCCAAAACCACATTACTGCTTTTGGACAGTACAAAACAGGAGTAGTTTGTTAGCTCACTGCATTCCTTGGAAGCTGTTCTGAGCTCATCTTCCTCCTGCCTTCAGCTGAGAACAAGTTTAGAAAGCTTGACAACGTTCCTCTAGGTTTGAGGAGGGAAACAGCCCTGTGAACACTCTTGGGTTTGGAGAGGCAATAACCTGTATTACGGGTTTTATACCTGCCTTCATTTATAACCAGAATATTTTGTGGTTACTACCACAGTTTTCAAGAGAAGCTTTGAGCATCATAACTGTTCACTGCCACCAGGAGAGAGATCCAGCTACTGCTGCCATTTCCCTTGTCCCTGCCCCTGCCACTTCATTCTGCACCAGGATTCACAGAATTTTTCTGTAAACCAGTTCATTTATTTGATTTTATTTCATCATAAAATTAAGGAGGAAACCCTGCCATTCTGTGCCATTTTAGTGTCAAGGAAATGTCAGCAGAGAAGGTTGCAGTGAGCACCAGAGCCAGGATGAGGGATTCTCTGGAAGTAGCAGTGCTGTGTGCTGAGGGGGAAGGGGAGCAGGAGTGTTGGATCAGCTGTGAGCTGAGTCACACCAGGGAGAGCCTCTGTCATACACAACATTTAATTCATTTAGAAAGTGAATTAAATGTTGTACCTAGTACCTAGCCACTGGTACTGTACTTAAGCAGAGTCTTCAGTGCTTCTTTATACACTTGTTACCCAGAAGGACACTGTAATACTGCACTGAGTAGCTTTTCCAGCAGCACTTCAATGTGTGCTGGTTTTGGCTGGGGTGGAGTTAATTTTCTTCACAGTGGCTAATATGGGGCTCTGCTTTGGATGCTAAAAGTGCTTTGTTGTTTCATGTATAGTTTAAACAGTAGCTGAAATTAATTTTGTATAAATAGCTTATAATTGGTGTTCAGCCCTCAAAAAATTCAAAGAGGAGTACATGGATTACACTAGAAAAAGCTCAGGAGCTAAAATGTAAAGATCTGCTTTTTGAACCACTAATTGCTGAAGTTCTGCCATCTCCTGGTTCCAGCAGCGTGGGGGGAACAGAACTTTGCCCAAGGGCTGCCTTCAGCTTTGGGTGAGGTTGTGAGAAACAGTTATTATGGACAAAAAATGTTCACAGGACTCTTTCCTGACAAATCACAGTGACATCCTCTGGGCTGTAGGATTCTCTGTACTAAACCATCAAGTGAGATTTTCTGGACTGTACAAAACATGCACCCTGGGCTTCTACAACCCATAATGAAATCAGAATTTAGAACAAACTGCTGATGACTGAACTTCAAATTTATAGAACCATTTCCAAAGAAACAGTTCTTTTGGACTCTTTTACAGAAGAAAAAGGTTTGAAAGTTTAACAGAAGGTTTTAAGAATAATCACTATCCCCCTACAAATAAGCTTCAATAAGAAAGATAATTAATTAGCACACAAAATCTTATTTCTAAGCTAGAATTCTAAAGATTTACAGCAGACCCATAGCATGGCATTACTGGGATCACTGGGATCCTTAGTACTAACTCAGTACTAAACCAGGAAATGCTCAGTGCACTCATCATTAATAAGTTGTAGTGATTTGGGAAAAAAACCAGCCCATCAAATGGGACTAACGAGACATGAACTGCAGTTCCTGACTTGGTGCAGTCCCTTCAATGCAAGCTTTTTAGTCATACCACAAAACTGCAAAAGAAAGGCAGTGATCTCCAAGAGCAATACCATCAGATGGTGTTGAAAGGCCACGACACCAATATTTGTGTCCTCCAAGTGCCAGACAAATGTCTGCAATCCGTGATCAAAGTGCTCACTGATGCCTTTCTTGCTCCAGCTAAACCAACAAAACCATTAAGGAAAATATATGTATATTGTACTTCAGGGGTCATTCCCCTAAAATTACACAGAAAAAGTAAGGTGAACACAGTCCAAACTGCCTTGAAAGGATTACCTTGAAGAGAACATTCAGAGGGTAAAGCACCAGAGAAGGGCAACTCAACACTTGAGATGATGAGTCCTGAATGAAACCCCCACTAGTTCACTCTCCAAGTACCTGCAGGTCATAATAAACTGATCACAATCTAAACTCAAAGAACCATCTGTATTTTTCTTTGTAAAAAGAAGTAAAATCAGAGAATCTGAAGCAGTTAAGAAACCAATTAGTTCTAGGATTTTTATAACCATTTGAAAGGAACAACAAATGCCTTTCTGTGCACCCTGTTTTGTCACATGTCCTCAGCCATAGCAGGGCTGGGGATCTCATCAACACTGGAGAGAAATAAGCCCTCTACAGAAACCTGGCTGTGATACAGCCTGAAAGCCATTCTGCAATCACTTACAAATCTGTGGTTTGGGTTTGTCCTTTTTCACCACTGAATTCAGTGGAACTGCTACAGAACTACAGCTACATTGTGGTGTCATGTAGAGCAGAAGGAACGTGCTGAATTCAGTGGAACTGCACTAGGGTAGGGTTAGAGTAAGACCCAAGATTTCAAACTGGTAAGACCTATTTAACAAAGCTGCTTCACTTGATGCACTTCATTTGCTTCCTCTAATAATAAAAAAAACAACATCCCACCTCTTCCATTCCTTGAACACCTCCAGGGATGGGGACTTCACCACCTCCCTGGACAGCCTGTTCCAACATCTAATCACGCTTTCTGTGAACAAAATCTTCCTGTTGTCCAGCCTAAACCTCCCCTGGTGCAGCTGAAGATTGTCCTCTTGTCCAGTCACTTGTTCCCTGGGAGCAGAGCCCAACCCCCACCTCACTGCAGGCTCCTTTCAGGTTGTAGAGAGTGAGAAGGTCCCCCCTGAGCCTCCTTTTCTCCAGGCTGAGCATCCCCAGCTCCCTCAGCCTCTCCTGGTGCTCCACACCCTTCCCCAGCTCCGTTCCCTTCCCTGGACATGCTCCAGCCCCTCGGTGTTGTTCCTGCAGTGAGGGGCCCAAAACTGGACAGGGCCCTCGAGGGGCCCAGCAGTGCCAGCACAGGGGAATGGGGGCTGTCCTGCTCCTGCTGCCACACTATTCCTGATCCAGGCCAGCTGCCCTTGGCCTTCCTGCCCCCCTGGGCACACCTGGCTCATGTCCAGCCCTGTCACCAGCACCCTCAGGGCCCTTCCCACTGGGCACTTTCCTGCCCCTCTGCCCAGCTTGGACCTGCAGGAGGTTGTTGTGGCCAAAGTGCAGGACCTGGCACTTGGCCTCTTTGACCCCACACCCAAATTTGGTAATGGTGCACTCAGTCCCCTCATCAATAAAGACACTGAACAGGACTGGGCCCAGCACTGATCCCTGGGGACACCACTGGTGACCAGATGCCAACTGGGTGCAGCTCCATCCCCAGCACTCTGGGCCTGGCCATCAGCCAGTTCCTAGCCCAGCACAGGGTGCCCCTGGCCAAGCCTGCTCCAGAGTGTCCCATGGGAGATGGTGTCCCAGGCTGTGCTGAAGGCCAGGCAGACACATCCACAGCCTTCCCCTCCTCCACCAGGTGGGTCACCTGGTCAGAAAAGGTTGGTCAGGCAGGACCTGCCCCTCCTAATCCTGTGCTGGCTGGCCCTGATCCCTGGCTGTCCTGAGTGTGCCCTGTGAGCACACCCCAAGGGATCTGCTCCACAGCCTTGCTGGGCACTGGGGGTGGGCTGACTAATAAACACACCTCCCTCAGACACACCCCAGTCACGGGGGGTCCTTTCACCCCAGTTCACCACAAGGGTTTACCAACAGCAGCCTCAGTTCTCTGCTTCAGAAGCAGGTAGTAACAAATCATTTATTTTAAATTACAAAACCAGGGTTGTCTTTAGGGAAAAATAAAGAAGAAACTTAGGTTACTTCTAGGAAGCAGCAGTGAAGTGGGAAATAGGGGAAACAGCCATATTTCAGCTGAAGAGATCTGACACAGTAAAGCTGATGGAGAACCCAAAAACACAAAAAGGGATTGGTTTATATTCTGTTCCTGACTTGAACCTGAACACTTCATAGCCATAAGTCCACAACATTCTACAAAGCATAGTGCAAAACCAAAACTAGTTATATTTAAATATTAAAAATACCAAATCAGACTTCATGAACAGTATTGGGTACAACAATCACAGGCTCCTATAAATGGTGTTGTCTATTGGATGGGTTTAGTATTTGGTCCCGTTTTTCTTCATACATTTCTATCATTTTCTGCATGTCATGGTCAGCTCCAATAACCTTGAAAAGAAGAACATGAACATTAGAAATAACTGACACCATAAAACATGGGGGGTTTTGAGCAAAACAGAAGAGGACTAGCACTGAATCCAAACCAAGACACTCCTGGGGTCTGTCCAAATCACTTTCCATTTGAAATTTGGCATTCCCTGAAAAGTTACATGGCTGATCCTGCAACCAATCACAGTGAACAGACCCTCAAATTCCACAGATGGAAAACCACACTTCCATGCTATACACTACACATGTCTGTAAACAGTTTTCTGAGGTTCTCATTCTCCAAGGTTACCAGAAAAGCAGATTTATTTACTTTTACCACTAAATAATGCTCTTATTATTTGAAAAGTACAATCCTCCACATGCCTAACTGGTTATAATTAAAGTAATACTCACAAGCACTGGGCAGGAAACTTCAAACAGTGCACGTTTAATGAGCCACTCTTCATAGAGCTCATGAATAGCTTCTAAATATTCCTAGAAAAGAGGCAGTGGAATAACACATATGCCCAGGGATGAAGCACACACAGCAATTTATCCATTTGGTAAGCAGTTAACAAACACAGGGAAAAGCCAGCATTGGATATTTCCACTAACAAAACATACAAAGCTTTCACAAAAAATTAATTCCCAGTACAAGGTTTTACTCCATGAAGAACCTCAAAGACAGTTTACAGGAGCACAGGGCTCTCAGCTCCTTTTAAGATCAAGCAACTCTGATTCTCTCCCACAGGTATCATGTGGTTCAAGATTTTACAGAGGAGAACCCAACAAAGAGAAGCACACAAAGGGCAAGGCTGCAAAGAATATGTACTGGAGGCACTTTGTGTGTCAACACATGTTCCTAAAATTCCCAGTTCCCTTGCTCCTGACTCACTCAACTTCCTCTAAAAGCTTTTCTGCCTGTCATCAACTATTGGGTGTTTTTTTTCTTGCAGACCACATTGTTCATTCCAAACTGCTCCCTCAGCAGAGCTGTGAAACAACACAAGGACTCTCCGAATCCATCACAACAAGGATTTCCTCTCAAGGCAAAATTTCACATGGCCCAAAATGGAGCTCTTTGCCACTGACAGTTGCTTCTCCTGGACTGCCCAGCACTGGAGGTACAGCAGACAGGCTGTGTGTGCAGAGGGAACCCCATTTGTGTCTGGTCAGGCTTTCTTTAGTTAATTCATTCACCAAACTGGCACTGAAAGGGATCCTTCCTTACCACAGTTAATTTTAAAGCACATTCCCACACTTAAAATTTTCCAAAAGTTGCTTCTTTTCAGACACAAGCAGAGACACTTTTCCTGCATAAACATCCTGGTAACAGCAGACAACAAAGTGCCCACAGAAATCTCCAGCACCTGCATACCCAGGTATTTGTGCTTCAACTGGGTGCTTTTATGCCATTTAATGGTACAAAAGCAATTGACTTTTTACATCTTAGAGAAGATTAACAGTTGATTAATACTCCACCTAAAGTCAGCTATAGTACAGTGATTACTAAAACATAACACTTGGGACAGTCAGTATGCATGAGAGATCATTTTTTAAAAATAAATCAAAATTAAATACTCAGGTTCTAGTTTGCAGTGGAAACAGCTGCACCACATTTTGGCAGTACACTCAGGACACCATTTTAGTATTTAGATTGGAATCATTATGTTTTTAAGTCTCCTTGTAACATACATTGGAGGAACTCCTTACCAGAGGAATGATCTTTTCTTCTTCTCTGCATCGTGTTTTTAACCTCTCATAACAGACTTTAGGAGATGTCTGCAGATAAACTGTTATAACAAAAATTAGAATAGTTATGATCAAGGATCAGCTTTAAAAGCAAAGAAGAACTACAGAAGGAAAGAATCCTGACTTGGATACCACCAGTGAGCCCCCCTTTGGCACTACCATTAATCCATCCAAGAACCACCCACAAATCCAAGCTGTCTGATGCTACATGTTACAACCACTATTACACTGAATAATGTGATTATTTATTACCCAACAAACAAGAACTATTTTTACTCCCAGTAAAGAAACCCACCCAGAAACACACCCCTCCAGATCCCATGGAAATTTTACCTATTAAATCCACTGAAACATCGATGTTGTTCTTGATCCAGTCAAACCATTCACTTAGCACAGCATAATCCACCTCTGGCATTTTTCCACTGAACAAACAGAAGAGCCATCACTCACTGAACAGCATGCAGAGATCAATTCTAAACTCTGGTTTTTCTCACCAAACTAGAATTGCTCCCCATTTACTCCAGCATATATGAAATGAAAACAACACCAGTGTTATTCCCACTCAAATTGAAGGCCACATAAACCACTTTCTATACAAGAGAAAGATCAAATATTTTTCTTTCAAGTGCTTATTAAAACAAACTTTCTATTATTAACAGTTACAAACATTAATTTTTTTCCACTACAGTTAAGAAATAATTACTTGGTGACAAGGAAGAAAATATTACCACAGTGACATTCACACAATAACAGCAAATTAGTGTCAGTGGTTATTTATTGCTCAGGTTCTTTGGATCAAGATCACTTCAAATCTATCTGCAGTGCATGTCACCAGAAGGGCTGGGTTTACTCAGCAGCACTGACAATTCCTTACAGAAGCCACAGTAAAGAGCAGTGAAAAAATAATGACACTGTAAACAAATTTATTCCCACTGTAAGAAATATTTGTGGAAAGAGTAGTGAAATATTCAACATGCTTAATTGGAGCTCTGTACTCAGAGAGCACAGACAACATAGACAACAGTCCCAACTATCTCACCAAGAATAATAAAATATCAGACAGGGAGTTACAGAGAATATGTTAAGAATCACATTAGTATTTTATAATAAAAACATTCTGGTTTTATTAGTCTCAGATTTTCACTTATTACCATATTCTTAGTAGTCAAATATTACTAGTTTTACATTATCCTGTCTTCAAAACTGGTGACAGTAACACATACTCCACACTCCTTCCTAAATGCCTCTGCAATAAAAATATAAAAAGAGATGGAGTTGGAAGGCTCCTGTCCTCTGCAGCTGAATGATTCACACCAGTTACAACATTTTAAATAGTGAAGAACAAGACTCCACAGATTTCTAAGCCCTTCTCCTGGCAACATCCTTTGATCACTGGCAAAACTGAGGAGATAATACAGGAAGGTATTTCCCTTTATGTTTGTAAGAAAGCAAACCCCATATTTGTACCCCCTCAATTCTTTATCTGCCATCCAGCTGAATGTCCCACCTCCTAAAATGAGATTTCCCACTTTCTAAAATGGGATATCCCCCCCAGAAATGTGATAACAAGTCATTGCTATTCCTCTAATATACCAATCTGATACATTTCTGGGTAGCAGGGACCTACGTAAGCCAAATACTGATTCTGCTACTATTCTCCAGGATAGATGGGGAAAATTGGAAGGTCAAAAGGAATTGGAAATAAGAAAAAGCACCACTATTCTTACCCTAAAAGATGGTAACATCCAAGTCAATTCTGCACTGACCTGCCCTACAGAAAACCTGCCTTTGCTTCCCCTTTGTCATGGAGTACCCTGGATAATCCTGTGTGGATTCTGGATCAGGCTCAAGATCCATAAAGATACAGAGAATGTACAAGGCACAAAGGGGTGTTCTCATTTCTGAGGTTTGCTGACATTTGACTCCTGCCAAGTCAAGTTTTCACTGCAGAAGTTGAACATGAACAGACCAAGCTCTGTATTATAACAAACTACGAATTCCAAGGGGACAGAGGGAATTGGTGCTGCTCACACCCTGCAGCACAGCCTGCACACTCCTGTGCACACATTTACATTTCTCCTGGTTTTACACCTGACATGAGTGTGCCTTTCATGCCAGACTCAAGACACAACTGCACTCAGACTGCAATCCCAGACCTTGGACACTCGTGCCTCTCTCCACCTGCCACGGGCACTCCCAGCAGCTGCTCACAATTGAAGCCTTCCAGCATTGTTGTAAATCTTTCTCTGGTTCTCTCTGGGACAAAGCCTGCAGAGCCAAAACTGAGTGACTGGATCAAAGAACTGACATCCCTGATGTTCCCACAGCTCTTCATCCCTTGCTTCAACTGACCACTCTCCTAAAGGAGCAGAGTTTGTGCAGACATGAGAGAACAGCAACAGGGGGGACCTTCTCAGCCTCACAACTCCCTGACAGGAGGGGGGAGCCAGGGGGGTCAGGCTCTGCTCCCAGGGAACAAGGGACAGGACAAGAGGAAACGGCCTCAGGCTGTGCCAGGGGAGGATCAGGTTGGAGATTAGGAAAAATTCCTTCATGGAAAGGGTTGTCCAGCCCTGGTGCAGCTGCCCAGGGCAGTAGTGGAGTCCCCATCCCTGGAGGGATTTAAAATCCATGTGGATGTAGCACCTGGGGACATGAGTTAGTGGTGGCCTTGGCAGTGCTGGGGAACACTTGGACCTGATGATGTTAAAAGTCTCCGCCAACCTAAACAATTCCATGATTCTTCTCCATCTTTAGGACTGGGACCCTAAGCAGTACCTTCTCTTACAGAAATGAAAGCACAAAATAACCTCTGCTCTGCACTTTGCTTTTGGCCACTACCAGTGACAGGGTATGAGGGAGGCCAGATTTACTTATTTTTTTTATGTGATACAAAATAGCTGTTTTCATACAGCCCCAATTATTCCTTGTTTTATTTAAAATCCTTTTACACACCCTTTTCTTCTGGCTTGTTATTGGTAGCACCAGCTGCCTTCTAGCTTGCTGCAACAAAACAAAGCAAATGCTTTTCATCCAACATCAAAGAGTGCTAAAGCCATGGAACACCTTAGATGCCCTTAAAATGTTATTAGAGAATTATGGAGTTGACACAACCAGACTTGGCCTCATAGCAACTGAGTTCTGAGTCTTTGGGACAAAAGCACTTTGTCTACAGTGAAAAAGAAAAGTCAGTAATTAAAAACAAGAAGGATATTCCAGGACACTTCCACTGGGATAGATAGTGTCCTTCTGTTTGCCTCACATCCTACTGTGTCTCTCCCCACTCCCAAAGCCATCCCAAAGCCATTCCTGCAGCACAGATGACACCTTGTGGCAAGAAACTGGTTCGTGCCTTGAGGCCACTGAAAAACCCACTAAAACAACAGCCTGTTCAATTAAAGGTCAGCATTCCAAACAAACCAAACCCAAAACACTCAGTGGTGGTTACTGCACTGCTTGGTTAGTTTGGGATGGGTGAGTTGGACATGGGGCAGGTAATAAGTGATTGTTCTTTCTTCACTCACAGCCTGCCAAGGTTTGCAGCCTGGTTTGATCCTGTAAATCCTGAGCCAGAGCAAGTGACTCGAGTTCCTGCTTCTCCCTCAAATTCCTGCTTGCAAGAAACACCAGTCCTGGGTGCCAGGTTGGGTAACACTACCTAGTTCCCTCCTTCCTACAGTGTTGTTCTTTATATCCTCATGGGTTTTAACCTGTTCAGCATGTGTTTGCTTTGATTTAGCAGGATTTTTGTATTCAGCTGGAGAGCAGATAACTTCAACAGATGTCCAACTACACTCTGTGCTAAACACACAGGAGCACTGCTGAGAAAGGCTCTCCATGTCCTACAGGTTTAATTTTACCCCTGGGCAGCACATCCTGACCCAACACACTGCCACTCCAGCACAGAACTGACAGATTTCACAGGCCACTTGGATGCATATTAC